GGGCCCCAGGGCTCGGTGCGTGGGCCGCCGCTCTCGGCCGCCCTTGGTGAGCTCGTGCAGGCTCAGGGCTTTCAGGGCCGTGTCCTGGCTCACAGGTTCTTATTTCCAGCAATAATACATCCTCAAGTCCATACCTCCGTGTTCCCAACCTCCTGAGGCTGGAGTCACAAATGCCATGGGCCCTATAAGGCACTAGCCCTGCCTACCTTCTGGCCTCACCCCTCTGGGCCCCACCCCCCCAATCTCCCCCAGCCCATCCCTTCCCTGGGCATTTACTTTTGCCCAAGCAGAACTTTGTTCTCTGGCCCGTGACTTCTCTCCTAGGTCCCTCAAATCCCAACCTCAAGAGATAGGCCCTATGCCTCCTCTGTCCCCTCTGGCACCCTGGAGCACCCTTCGCCCTCACGGAGCCCCCTGCCTTTGCCACCGAGTGCATGGTCAGGGCCTAACAACTGGGGGCCTGTGGGACTGGCACGCACCTCCTGGCGGTACTTGGTGACATAGAAGTAGAGCTCACTGAGCGCGCTTAAGATGTTGAAGTCACTGGCATGGAGACGGGACTGCTCTACCAGGTAGGCATCCATGTCCTGGTCGCTAATGGACGCCATCTTTGCAATGTCCCGGTAGTACCTGTTGGAACTCTGAGTCGGTCATAAAGGCAGGTGCCACCAAAACCCCTGCCCCGGCTCTCAGGCCATTCCCTGGGCCTTTTTCCTAAAGCTGACACGGCCAGGGTGGGCGGGGGGACGGGGTGGAGGAAAGCAGGCTCCCTGGGCTGCACACCTGGCTTCCCGCCCCCCAACCCAGCGTGGGGCAGCAGGGCAGGGCCCACCTCTCCACCCAGCTCTTGTAGTTGGGGATGTCCTTGGCATAGAGCAGCTTGTTGGACGGCGAGTCCTTGCCCAGGCGATGCTCAGACGTGGAGCAGGAGTCCATGAAAGTCTGGGCCACCACTGACAGGCAGGCGTCCGTGATGCTGCTCTTGTGAATGTCGAACACGAACTGTGGGTTCTTGATCACGTTCACCCAGAAGCGCAGGGGCAGACTGAGCAGAGGAACGGGCACCTGAGGCTCCCCCCTGCTCCCTTCTCTGCTCCCCGTCCGGCCTGTGCACATCTCGCCCAAAGACAGCCGGGGTGACATACTGAGCTTAATGGTATTTTCTTTAACTTTCTGCCAGCCTTCATGTAGTGAGAAATACGAGTCCTCACTGCATCGGTGCTCCATGGCGGCCCCGCGACCAGCGTCCCACACGCCCAGCAGAGCCCATGTCCGGACACACGCTCGCCCCCAGCCCCCCCCCACTCGGCGGCCATGGTGCAGCTCCCATCCGTTGCCCTCCCCGCGCGGCCCCCTCCGTGCACCCGGCCCCAGCACCAGGCGGTACCAGTTGCTCTTCCAGGTGTGGCGTACGTCAGGGTCACTGATCTGGCGCTGGTCGGCCTGTTCGTCCAGGAAGTCGAACATGTACTTGATGGCCAGGGGCAGGGCTGATCCCCGGTGGGCCGTGCTGAACACAGTCTCAAAGAGGTCGTCCACGAACTTCTGCAGCGTGCCCTGTGGGGGCTCGGCAAGAGCGCAGGCCGTGAGGGGGCCAGGCCGGGATGGCCCCGCAGCACAACAGGGGGACGGGGGGTAGGCAGTGGGCAGGGCTTCCCCGCAGGGACCTCGCCCAAGACAGGCCCAGCGTCCGCCTCAGCCCCAGGCTGGGAGTTCCTGAAGCAAAGGCCTTGAGAAAGGCCCGCTAGATGTGAACGATCCCGCGGCCTCCCCCCGGGGCAGGCCAGGCCCACCACAGGGCCAAGGCCAGGCTAGAAGTTGTCTGTGCTCAGGCCGGAGTGGCTCAGGGCAGCCGCACACCTTGGTGGCCAGCAGTCGCGTCAGGTAGATCTCTGAGACCATCTTGCTGCCACGGTCCCCCTCACGGTGGTCGGCGTGGTCGTGGTTCTTCACCAGGTGCCACAGCTTGGTGCCAGTTTCCTGGTCGGGCGTGATCATGGGTGCCCGAGAACGGAGGCTGTCGGGGCTACTGGCCGTGCGCAGCAAGCTCTCTGGGGCCGAGGACAGGTATGCCCCTCAGGCCAGTGGGGCCAGGCCAGCCATCACCACGGCTCTTGCCCCACTCTGTTCCAGGAGCCCAGCAGGCGAAGGGGGGGCCCTGCCTGCTCTCACTGGCCCACCCCCACCTCTAGGAGGCCTCCCAAGGGCAAAGGCCACCACACTGAAGGCACCTACCATAGCGGCTGAGGGAGCGAGTGAAGGTGAAGGAGTTGGCCATGTTGTAGGCGGACACTTGTTTGGGCACCAGCGCCACCAAGGAACCATCTGTCACCTGGAAACCCCGGAGGCGGAGGGCGGCAGTGCAAGAGGAGGCTGAGGAGCCGAGGGGCCGGAGCCACCGCCAACCCCGACCCTGAGGAGGGACCAGGAACGCAGGGGCAAGAGAAGGGAGAAGCCAGCGCCCCAGCTCCTGTGTCCTCAGGGCAGGGCCGTGGCTCCTCGGTGGCCCTGGGGATGAGTAGGCCCCCAGCCCCTCACCTGGTAGTGGGCCAGTGAGTTGACCCTCTTCCAGTCACACTCGATCTTGGTGGTGACATCTTCATCCTGGAGGATGATGCGGGCCATGCGGCCCTGACGCCATTCTGCAGGCCACAGACAGCCCTTGAGGTCCTGCTCGGAGCCCCCCAGTCCCTGGACCCGCTCCCCTCAGAGGACAGAGCCCGAGTGGGGGTGTGAATGCCAGCCAATGTAATGTGGCCACAGGGTGGGGGCCAGGAGGAAAGGAAAGGGCAGGTCACCTAGGTCCATGTCCTCAGCTCTGGGGCGCTGGGAGTATGGGATGCCCTTGTACACAGCATCTAGCAGCTTCTCTTTGGCTTGGGTGATGCTGTCACAGTTGAGAACCTTCACTGGGACCTGAGCGCTGCCCTCGCTCTCCGGGAACACACAGTGCAGGGTCTGAGGGTGAGGGCAAGGACGAGGCGGGGCCTGAGTGAGGCTTCTTCCCCTCGTGCCCAAAGCCCTGTCCACCCGGCCCCCAGCTCACCAGCGTCTTATAGTCAATCTGCTGCCGAATGAGCTTGTCCTCACTCAGGGAGTAGCGTGCCTCGCCCGTGATGGCGTCAATGGGGCCCTTCTCCATCTGCTGCTTGATGGCGCAGTAGAGCAAGAAAAGCGGCTCCCCGGCACACTCCTGCAGCCAGGGTCGGGCACATGGCTTGCCGCCTGCCGGACAGTTA